TGGCAGCTGCAACCACGATTTTATCCCACCTATAAATGGATTTTATGTCATAATTTTCCTCGTAAATTTTTTGCTGTTTGCTACGTACTTGACCTCCTGAGTGCTAGATTTTATGATCTTTTATTTGTTCTGTTCCCCGCACGTGAGTTTAGGTTTTGTGCAGAAATTTTCCAAATGTAAATATTACTATCGGTGTTTATAATTATAATGCCGGCATTACAGTTAACTTATTTTGATGCCGATTGTATATAATAACATTTTGAAAGTTCAAACCTTAAGAACACACTGTATATATTTTTTACATTTTATACATCACAAAAGATACCTTCGTTCATTCTTTCTAAGAGCCGCATCGCTACTAATTTTGTGGCAAGTTAGCCGTCAATGAGTAAATTCAGCTCAGTAAATTAAAAATACATCATAAACCAAAAATTATATATGAATGAAGCCATGCCTAATTTCCTACCTCCCCCAAAAAATCTAAAATCCACTGAATGAAGGTCACAAAACCAGCCCCCTAAAAAGTACCAAAACTTTTTCACCGTTAGACTTCGATTTACGCCGCGTCGTTGCGCTGTCTTTACCTGTCACTGACTGCATCGCCGTTGTACCGACGCCAACGGACGTATCCGGTGTCAGCAAAAAGAATTTAAAACGCGAATACCCTTCTTTCTTCTCATTGAATGAAATGCATGACTAAAACTCCTAAACTTATCCATTATTGGAGATTTTGCAATTACAAAGTAATTTACATCCTTCGCTAACAGTTCAGGAACAGGATATAAATTTGTGATAGTGATATTAATTATTTGTAGCCGCTTACTTATGTTTCGAGACGATAAATCAAATTAAATACGTTCGTCAAGCTGCTAAAACACAGGAAAATGATAGCAAACACTTGCGGCTAGAACGAAAATGACACCATTTTTCATTGATAAACCTGAGATATTTCACCTGCTCAGGTATCTCTGTCAGTTTCATCAGATCTGCAGGAATATTAAGCGTGTTATCATCGTCATTAGGCTTCCGTATCCACCCACTACCCGCCTGGCAAGATATAGGGTAACGTGGGGCAGCGAGCCCACTGCGGGTCATGGGCCCATAGCGGGTTTGCATATGATTGCATATGCAGATATTGGTCCGTGTTCTCTACCGCCGGTCGACAGTTTCACTGGGATGAAGTGTACGGATTTACGTTTTGCTAAGTGTTTGCGTTATTAAGATATTTGTGGATAACTGTTTCAGCCCAGATAAAGTTTTTTTTGCTGCTAAATAAAACTGTTTTCGATTACTGTAGATGAAGCTTTTGAAATTATTGTGAATTATATTTTGAAAGTAATATTTATAGGGATAATTTTGAGATCAAGTTTAGACTATTAGCTTTTAAAATAAAATGTTTACACGATATAAATTGAAAGGATACCTAGTGAAGGCAACGGGCCCACGCCTGTCACGGGGCAAAGCGCCCATGGGGCATTCTTGTATTATACATACATTGTGTGTTGATTTATCTCAATGACCTTTTCAAAACTATGACTAGCTTTTGAATTACCAATCACACTTCATATTGCATGATTTTTCGATTTGCCGCCTCAAGGCAGCAGGTTCAGTTTCTAGTTATGCGTATTTATGACCCCTTATCGAGTTATTGACTCTTGCCTTGCCAAAAGTTGATTTCAGGCAACACCAATGAGCTTAAAGTTGATGAGTTTTATGGTGTTAGCTGAAATCACGATTAGGTACGAATTCTCTGCACATAATATCTGGATTATGGGCAAAACTGGAACGAAGTATTTTTTCTGATCAACTAAATATATTTTTTCTGGTCAAGAATACATTTTTTCATGTCAGGGCGAATTTTTTATTGCAAGGATATATTTTTCAAGTCAAGGATATATATTTTTATGTAAATGAAATATTTTTCTTCACGTCAGGGATAGATTTTTTACGCCAAGGTTATATTTTTTCATGTTATGGATATGATTTTTTGAGTTGTTAATAAATGAATGAATGTCATATTTTTTAATACATTTTTTCTTATTTTTAACTGTAAAGTGTTGTTTTATCATTTTTAAACGAAAATTATGCAATTGTGGTAAAGGGACCAAGGGTGGGCGCCTTGCCCCAAGCCCATGGGCCCATTGCCCCAGGGGTGGGGCAATGGGCCCATTTTGACTTGACACTTTTTACCAAATAGTGTTTCATTAAAAATTTAACAACTCTATAGGCGCCTAATTTACATCATACATTCCTCATTAGCTGCACCTTTAAACAAAACAAAGAACCACCTCGTATCAATTGAAACTTAATCAAAATTGTAGTTTAAAAAAAAAGGGGGGGGCGCGCTGCCCCATGTTGCCCTATACACCACGAGGTTCACTAGAGGCGAAATGTCGAGGGAAAATATCTGACGAACGAAAAGCTAATGGTTGTTTGTGGAGGATTAGCCCATAATATAACTTTTCAGAAATATTAATGGGAATATATGAGATGTTTATCAATATTTTAGCTCATATGTGATCGTTATTTTATCATGAAAGCGATCGTTATTGATGCATATTGAAGGTAATTTGACACACTTCTGCCTACAGTTTTGTGGACGCTTGTGGATCGTTTTTTTAAGACATCTTTTATGTTCGGGACGCAAACTCTGAAATAGAAAGAAAAGTTCCATTCCATCATTTTATGTATCTTAATTAATGTACCTTTTATAAAGCACTCAGTACATTTTACATCGTTGATGCTCAACATGGTAGGTACTGATCAAAAAGAGTTTAGACGAAGCTAATTCTCTCAGAATAATAATTTTGTACTTGTTCCAGCTCCACGGCAATATATGGGAGCATTTTTCTCTAGGAAAATATTTTTTAAAATAAATGTTGAAGTTTATGCCTGTAGTTTATTGGGATTTCACTGCCAATGCGTTTTTTGAACCTAAGAAAGAAAATTTTTTTGGGATGACTTGCTTGAACTCGAAATTTTGACATTACATCACACATACAAATTTGTTCATCAATATCCTACAACTTTTTATAGAGAAACTCAATAAAACTTTACATTTTAGGTCTTGTAATAGTCTAATGAACAATTATTGTTCTCGTATTCATCCCACACATAAATCATTTCCTCAAGTTTTTCGCTGCAAATTAATTTCATTTGCTTATTTATTGCTTAATGATTTGACTGCCTGAGAAGAAGCGAAGCCGATGCAACTAAAAAATAGGCAAGTTTACGCTATCAATTAGCACCAGCAGTAGTAGAAAGTAGTTGCTCCCTATTGCATTCTTTGCTAAATTTCATTGCCAAGTCACCTTTTTGTTTATGTGTTTTTTATCTGTCACGGTTTATCAGAGGCAAGAGCCACATAAGCTAGCCTTGCACAGCATTATTCCTTTGAACTGCACTTTAAATTAATGTGCAAAAAATTCGATGGCACCATCAGTGAACTCACGACCACACGGGGCTGCGCGAGCCAAGACCGAAAAGTCGGTTGCCACAGCCGATGGCCTGCGCACCTTCCTTCATGTGGTGCATATTTGTAGTGCAACCTCTCCGGCGATCGCTGTCTGTGTGCTAACTTGCTTTCTAGCCTCAATTACTCTCACTTCGGTATATCTGAGCAAATTTAAATATTTTGTACTTTTCGTGTTTGTTTTGTTGAAGTGTAATACAGTGCAAAGGAATTTTAAAAAGGCGTGCGTAAGTAAAAGTGAGCTGATGATAAGAGAAGCTGACAGGAACGAAACGCGATCACGTTGTGAACGCAAGCAACTGGCACCTGATCAACACAACAACGAACACCTCTCGCATCACTTGTGTTTGTTCGTAGTGGCCGTAAGGCTTTTGGTGGTATAGGTGCGTAAAATATTACAACAAACGCCCCTCGCATCAGTTCTGTTTGTTCGTAGTGGTCGTAAGGCTATTGGTGGTGTAGGTGCGTAAAATGTTACAACAAACGCCCCTCGCATCAGTTCTATTTGTTCGTAGTGGTCGTAAGGCTATTGGTGGTGTAGGTGTGTAAAATGTTACAACGAACACCTCTCGCATCACTAGTGTTTGTTCGTAGTGGTCGTAAGGCTATTGGCGGTGTAGGTGCGTAAAATATTACAACAAACACCTCTCGCATCACTTGTGTTTGTTCGTAGTGGTCGTAAGGCTGTTGGTGGTGTAGGTGCGTAAAATATTACAACAAACGCCCCTCGCATCAGTTCTGTTTGTTCGTAGTGGTCGTAAGGCTATTGGTGGTGTAGGTGCGTAAAATATTACAACAAACACCTCTCGCATCACTTGCGTTTGATCGTTGTAGTCGTAAGGCTATTGGTGGAGCAAGTGCTTAAAATATTTACATAGAATTCGGTTGCTGTGGTGATTCAAGCTACACTTGAGACAGGACTGTTGCGTGTTACGACTGTTTAACGTACTGATGTTGGACGCTGAGATATTATTTGTGCTACAAGCCCTATTTTGGCTTATTTTGCTAGGGCTTATTTTGCTACAAGCCCTACAAGCCCTACAAGCCCCATCATCAATTTTTTTCTTGTTATGCAATAAACTTGCCTGTTGAAGACTTGTGTTAAACATTTGGTCGTCAGCGCCTCGTTCTGATCGAAGTCCTGTAAACCTTTATTTATTGTTTGAACATGCAACAATTGCAACTTCACATTCGAAATGAAATCTAATGCATATGTAGAATTATACATACGTAACACACCAAAGTTTTACACACTTAATCAAAATGCTAACAAGAACTTTCATATTTAGTTTCAAAGCACTCTTTCACTTATCTTAATTTCTGCCACAGTAAAATGAACGCGAATTGCCTTGAACGAATCTATACTGCATAGAGTAAGACATCCCACTCTCCGTAACGCCCTTTAAATTAGGATCAAAGTGCGTTGATTATATATAATTCGCCTGAAAAATCAGGGAATTACAAAAATCACGATTATTAATCAATCAGGCATGTTTGATTGCTTGTCTATAGGTCGTTTCCCGCAGCAGTTACGGAATTAGTTCCGTAAATTGTGCTTACGCAGTGTTTTACTTGCGTCAGTCGCAGGTGTACAATCTCGTTACTAATTCTCTCTAGCAAGGAAATTTTACAATAAAAATATGCAAGTATGATGAACTTGGGGGATGTGGTGTCGGAGCTGAAAGGGCGAGACGCGTATCTGCCGCTTGGACGCAAGGTAAGGGCAAAATAGCAAGTGTGCTAACAATATTCCAACAACATCTATGGTGCACGTGTGAATAAACCAAATGATACGGTAATCCTGGTTATCAAATGTACTTATTAAAAGCAAATCTTTGTATAATTTATTTGAATAACCTCTTATTTTGCCCCAGATACTTCTCACCTGTAATTTTGTGGTTATTTTTTCCGGTCCGCTGTTACTAATAAGTTTGCGCTTATTCAGTTGCGCAACGTTTAAAGCTAAAAAAAATATTTATGTGTTATTTGTCACTTTCCTCTTGAATTCTGTCCAGTAAAGTCTTGATCAGTAGTATTCATTTTATAATATCTAACAGCCTTATTATACAGGGTGTTTCAGAATTAAGTAACCCTTTTAATTTGTTAATAAATAAAAAACTAAGAACGTTATGAAGTTGAAACTTTATATTTAAAAACTAGGATACAATATTACCATAAAAATATTCTTCTTTTAAATAAAACAAGTTTCAACTTCATAACGTTCTTAGTTTTTTATTTATTAACAAATTAAAAGGGTTACTTAATTCTGAAACACCCTGTATTACGATGTAGTATACATGTTTCCGTCATCAATGTGCATGGGATGGAGGTTGACTATAGAGGTGTCCACCATCGATGCGGATAGCACGACTGAATATTTTCTCGATCATTCCAACATCATACAACAACAACATCGATCACACAACATTGTGTATCATTCCAACATACAAATTGTCGAAGATTCCGACCATTCACATTTTTTTCTCCACCAGAGCTTTTCCGTCATTTGTTTGGTATCTTCGCCATGTCTCCTACACAATCTGTCTCGCTTCCTCACCTATAATCATTTAGCATGATAGTGATAATATCACTATCATGCACACTAGTTATCTAGTATGATAGTGATCTGTCTATATATTCCTAAAATTTTGTATAGCTTCTGAATCTTCTTGCCGAATGTCCTGTATCTTCTTTCTCGCCTTCTCTACATACTTACAACCATCTGTTTACCTTTTTCATCTACCATCTGCATGACGTCCCCACCATCTGCATGGCATCCCCACCATCTGCATGGCGGTTCACCATCTGCATGACGTTCCCACCATCTGCATGGCGGTTCACCATCTGCATGGCGTCCCCACCATCTGCATGACGGCCCCACCATCTGCATGGCGTCCCCACCATCTGCATGGCGTCCCCACCATCTGCATGGCGTCCCCACCATCTGCATGACGTCCCCACCATCTGCATGGCGTCCCCACCATCTGCATGACGTCCCCACCATCTGCAATTATTATAGAGACTCTGATTCGATGATGTACTCACTAGCCTCGAATACAGTCTATTTATTTATTTTTGTCCCGATGTTTTTCATTTACTTGAGGAATACAGGAGTATCCTGCGTGTAATTCACATAAAACTTTTCAAAGAATTTGGCAATGTGATATGACTGAAATAAACGCTCAACTTATGCAGAGTTTTACTTTACGGCACTCGATTGGAGTGATAAACACGAAGAGTATAAATACAAGTGATTAATGTGGGTACTGTTGAAAACCGAACGATTAAAGGTACCTACTTTAATATAAAAGGTTTTAGTTCCTGCAACCGAAGGCAAGCAGGAAAGCGAGTTATGGTAAAAATAGATGTCATAAAAAATATTTTAATCAAAATATCTGAGCAAGCAAGTATTTGATTGCACTGGCCCGCTACAACGGGAGCGTGATGAGAACGTCATATTAACCCTATTAGTCCATTATAGAACTCATCCTGCCATAGCTTAACTGTCACCCGATGATTGATTCTCTACGCCATTTTAGTCCTTTAGAGTGGGTTAGGGTCCAGTCACCCTATGAGTGGGTTAGGGTCCAGTCACCCTATGAGTGGGTTAGGGTTCCTGTCACCCTATGAGGGGGTTAGGGTCCAGTCACCCTGTGAGTGGGTTAGGGTCCAGTCACCCTGTGAGTGGGTTAGGGTTCAGTCACCCTGTGAGTGGGTTAGGGTCCAGTCACCCTATGAGTGGGTTAGGGTCCAGACACCCTGTGAGTGGGTTAGGGTCCAGTCACCTTGTGAGTGGGTTAGGGTCCAGTCACCCTGTGAGTGGGTTAGGGTCCAGTCAACCTGTGAGTGGGTTAGGGTCCAGTCACCCTGTGAGTGGGTTAGGACTTAAGAGGATAGCGCGTTAAGCAACTGCCAGATAAACTGTCTTCAACAACTCAGATCGCCACGATTCACAAACTGAGGTGCAACGTTTGCGTCAATTTGCTGCTAAACGATATCAACTTGTGAGTCATTACATTAAATTTCACGATTAATAAATATCCTTCCCATACAGTACAAATTTTGCTCTGCCACTTAAATAATGCGATCTTTCTATCTGTCTTGCAATACTGTCGAACTCCCTGTATCGATATTTTTTTCAATTTGCTTAACAGCTACGACCAAATTGGGACTAGATAAATAGACCGTTTTATTATTATAAACGTATTGTACATTCTTTTTTCCTCAAATGGACGAAAACACAACGAATTAGTCTAAGTTAATGAGTACGCACATAACATAGAGCTAGACGACAACTCGGCTACCCTTGCCCCCTTAACTCAGTACTGAGCTTGCTCCGAAAAAAGAAGCTCTGCATTTGTTCGCCGACTAGTTCTATTCTTAATTCATCTCCAATGAATCTATTCGTGATTAAAGTTGCATAAATTATTCACATACAGAACATTGCACTGTTAAGTGAACTTTCTTCCGCCAAACATTCATAATGAAGGAAAATTATAACTGATCTCTTCCCCAAGCAACGTTCATGAATATATATATTATATATAAATTAGCTAAGTGCTGCTTCATGCCAAGCACGCTTTGACGCAGGGATGAAAATGTGATAGATGCGTGCTGTTTGATCTGAAGTCTCGAGCGGCTGTTGTTTTTCTTTAAATTTATAATTTTACACTGAAAAATGCAGCAGTATCGTGTGATAAGTGCAATGACGATGCAATTTTTCAGCATTTTTTTTATATTATGCATCTTTTATATGCATCTCTGAGCAAAATGATAGTATTAAAATTCGGTGGATTGCCCAAATTGATTGCATCACAATTGAATATGGATCAAAGGATCGACATAGTTTAGTATTGCCATATTCTTCCTATATTTGCACTGAAGTATAACAATAAAGGTTGGTCCATAGAAGCGAATAACTCGCAATCTCTGAAGTGTCTGATGAGGTCCACCTGACTGTTTTTGTGGGGCGCAAAAGTTTTTCCATCCGCAGGAAAGTTTCTCGATTAATTTTCAATTTGGCTATGCCTTGCTGAGCATAAAAACAACTTCAAGGGAAATTGTTTCGACTAAGCTGATAATGAGAACATTCTTCTCCTCAGGAAGCGACTTTTAAACTTAAACTTGTAACGTTTTCACTGTTCAAGAATTGTGCGGCGATACGCACTATGCATGAATGAAGTGTGAAATTATTTGAAAATATCTAAAATATTATGACATTTAAAATATCAGAACATCATTTAAATCACCAAGCTAAATTAAGTACGTCAATATAATGTCAGTCTCAGAGAGATCATTCAGCCTTGTAGAATCAATCTCATCACTGCAATTAACTTCATAAAAAGTCCAATCTATCTGGCTACAGATTTACAATCAAGCTCTGCGCTGTTCATTTGACAGTTTCCTGCCGGCTGCAATAGATTTTATTGGTCATTACCTGCCATATAATCATCAAGGGGTGAAATCAAAAGAAAAAACTTATCGCCAGAAGCCGTCGATGAAAGTCCTAACGACCTGAACGCACTTTCAAATTAGATATCTTCACTTCATTATGTGATCAAAGAAACTGCGATGTGCGAGTGTCTACTCGGTACAAGGGAAAATCAGTCACCTCTAATAATTTTCTATTAACAAAATAGATAAATTCTATTAATAATATAGATAAATTCCATTAATAAAATAGATAAATTCCATTAATGATTTAGATAAATTCTATTAGTAATAGAGATAAATTAAATTAATATAGATAAACTCCATCACCTGAGTACTGTGAACAATAATTGTCACGGTTGATTATAACCAGCAATTTAGTGAACGAAAGTGGCGAATTTAGTGAACGAAAGGTAATATTTGATTCTTCCGTGCAACTATTGTGTGTGATTCTCTCCACCTATATAACCTGTTACTCGCAATAGGGTCGAGCTTTTAATTCTGCTACGAGCTAACTTGAACGGAGTTCTAGAAGAACTCGAACATAGACACACTTTGCGCGAATTGCTGCCGAGACGCGTTGTTGCTGCACTGCGTCGCTCGACTATGACTTGGTAGCTGCATTGCTACCGCAAGTGAGAAAAAACTACAGTGCTTTTCGGCTCTGAATAATAAAAGTGGAATGTCATGTTAGTGAAGAATTAAAGTCTTGCGCACTGCGGCATAACACCGCGCGCCGAGTGCTGAATTTTTCCTTATTCGAATTTTGCTTTTGTTAGCGTTGTTATGGCAGTCACTAATCTATGATCAAATATTAACAGTTAGCGTTACTTAAATTATTTTATGGTTAATGAAAAGTCTACAATTTAGACGGACAAAAGTGGTGAGAATAAATTAAAATCAAGTAATTAATATTAAAATCAAGATTATGACACAAAATTTATTGTTATATTTTCATGTATTTCAGTGCATTTGATCCTCAAATTCATGATATTAAAAAAAACTTTTTATTATAGGTCACTCTTCCTCACTCAAGATGGCTTCCTTACTCAAGTTTTACGATAAAGTTTAATTCCAGACAACAAAGATAACGTGGAGCCTAATTAGGAGCTGCAGCAAGCAAGGGCGTAGGGTATCTCCTTTAATATTAGCTCTAATGTACGCTTTACTGAATAATAAACTAAGGAATTTGTCATTGAAAGACTACTTCAAGAATTTAAATGCCAATTATTAAGATCTTCAACGTTTTATTCATTATTCATCGCACTGAAATGTTCGTTAGCCATA